TTAGACAACAGCTTTTTCCAGAAGGTGGAGAGAGACAGATAGATATAGACACAGATATAGATGTAGATATAGAAACAGATCAAGAAGGAGGGAGTGAGAGAGGGAGAAGGTGAAAGAGACAGACAGAGAGATGAGTGAGGCAGCATCTGACTTCTGCCATCCTGCGTACAGCGGGCACTCAGTAGATGTGGGCCCCTTCCTCTTCCCCTTACCACGTTCTCTCCCACCCCACAGCTGCACACATAGAAAAACTGGACACACTGTAGTGCGTTGGGTTTCACTCAAACCCTACTTCGAGTGAGAAAAGAAAAGTTTTTTTTTAAAAAAACTCATTTGCAAACATACCAAGAAGTTCACTTTAAGAACAGCAGTGCACATTGGGACATTCAGCCATGCCACACCCAAATTGGTTCACAGGTCTTATTATACCATCCTCATGCAGTCCGCCACAGTCACCCCTCTATGCAAAGGGGCAAGGGGCCAATGGCTTGCCCTGGCCTGTGGAGCAGGCATGTTACACGGGGTCTCTCTGGCTCTTGCCAGGGGCTGGTACACAGTTCCTGAGACGTTTCCTTCTATTCCCACAGCTCTTCCTTTGAATTCTAGTTTTGTTGGGGTTGGGTTTGTTATTAATTTATTTTATTTTCCCCAAAGTATTTTCTCTTTGTTTCTAGTAGTGGGAAATGTGGGTCATTTAGAAATGGAGTGTCACAATGGCAGAGAAGACAGCGATCCTAAGTGACAACTCTAAAGGCAACATTAACCACAAGCTAGAGGCGAGGTCAACCCTCACCCTGTGCCCATAGCCCTACAGGGGCTTCATATTTCTGCATAGACATTCACGGCCCCACGAATCATAAATAGCACTGGACGGAAAGCAGATTCTTACTCCGAAGATACCATTTATTTTTTTGTTTTGTTTTGTTTTGTTTTTAAGCAAGCGCATGCACATGCACACACACACGTGGAGCATCCCTAATCCAAAAATCCCAAATGTCATCTACCCCAAAATCCAAAACGTGTGGAGCACTGCTGTGACCCCACAAGTGGAAAATTCTCTACCTGCTTTTATGTGATAGGCCCAGGAACATGCAGGTATACTGTATCCACTGTGTAAAACTACCTTTGAGCCATGTGTATAGGGTGTATGTAAAACAAACTTATTGTTCAGGTTTCAGTCTCAGGCCCAAGATCATGTTTATGCAAATGCTCTAAAAAGCTTAAAACCAAACTTTGAAAGATTCTTAGTCTCTTGCTTCTTAGATACAGGATAGAGAATCTATAAAACATATATATATACATATATATATATATATGTATATATACATATAAAACATATATATATCCTACATATAAAACATATATATATCCTACATATATATATAGGATATTTAACCTGTACTACATATATTTATCTACAATTTTTATTTATTTTTATTTAACGTTTTACAGTCTACGATTAAGCAGATGGCACCATTTGCAATAAGATAAATGTTGTTAGATGATGCATGTCTCTGTATACAAAGTATATTATGTCGCTTAAACAAAATGAAATTCCATTTAGAGTGTGAATAAAAAAGGAGCGATCAATAAAATATTCTCTGAGCTCTCTAGCATCAAAACGTTTGGACAGGGCGCAAAGCCGCGCCTGCTGCCTCCGAGGCCTGCTGCCTGGAGGCCGGCTCGCTGGGGAGGGGCGGGGCCCAGCGATGCTCCTTTCCAAGTCAGGGCCACATTTGAAATAGTCCCGAGTTATCTGAGTAATGTGAAGTATGAGGAATTTCTGTGGAAAAATCAACATTTCAAAGGGGTAATACAGATAATACAAAAACCTCATTCTACTGTAAGTGTGTGTGCGGAAGAAGGAAGGACAGTAAAATAAATTAGATTTCTTAAATGAAGCTGACTAAGTAACAGTTTACCTAAGGGGACAAGCAGTGGCTGGAAGGTCTTCGGCGTGTCACCAAAAGGAAAGAAAATAAAAGGTCCTCACATTGGCACACACGGCTCTTTCGTTTTCTCTAAAATCCATTCAGAATCTACAGGCTGATCTTTCTGAGGATCCCCCCCCCCCTTGTCCTTCCCACCCCATACAACTGAGCCTGCTGCCTCTCAGTTCTAGGATGACAGCACACTCCAGAGCTTCCTGGAGACCCAACAACAACTCTGTGCTGCTGCCACAGAACTCACTGCAGTCCACCTGATCATTCTAACATGTAAGCATGTGGAAGGAGGCAGAGCCAAGAGCGACAAGCAGAAAGAGGGCCGCTTGTGAAACTCTGATGGACATGCCCGTCCTACATGGTCCTCGCACTCTCTGACTCTGCTTGCAAAACTTGGTGCTCCTTCCTGGTTTCTTAAAAGGCACCAAAACCACAATCAGGCCGTTGAGGGGTGCAGCCAGACCTAGAGGGGGCACACTCATGCAGAAGTGCTGCAAGAGCAGGCAGCGGGAAACAGCAAGGTCTCATTTAGAAAATACTCTGTGCTTGAGGCATGTCCAGTGTTCTGTGACACACCCACCCTCGGCCATGGATTCCTCTGCGTGCAAGAACCACAGCTGTCCACTGCACCGGCCCCTGCCATGGAATACAGAGATGAAATGTTATCACCAAGGCAGATGCCTCTGCAGCTCTTTACAACAGCTATCTGGAAAATCACAGACAATTTTGTTACTGTCACAGTCCCTAATGTCCCTCCAAAGCATCCTGCCAGTAGCCCCGGAAGGGTCTGCGAACAAACTGCATGTCGCGAGGGCCTCTGTGGCTTGCTAAGCAGTCTGCTCAGATCCTTGCCGGCAACCCAAGCTCCAGCTCTGCTGGACTTCAGGAACAGCCTGCCCTCTTCTGGTCTCCTTGAGTCCAGGGAAGGGCAGGGCTGGGTGGGCACAGCTAGAGGAGGGCAGAACCAAGTTCCAGCCAGGATGTGTGTGCTGCCACTTTGGAATCTAGCAGCTCATAGGGGTAGATATGGGGAAGGTAGAGAGGAGTGAGATGAACAAAGCAAAGAAAATGCAAATGCAGGAGCAGCAACAGTGGCCAGTAAGGAAGACAAGTAACTACCTGCAAGGGAAGAGTGGGAAAAAAAGCAAATAAAATAATATAAAATAAAAATACAGTAAAACAAAATAAAAGTAAAGAAGGGGAAGGTGGGAAAGATTGACACTGAGACAGTGGGAGATGGTGGGAAGACAAGCAGTGAACTCACGGATGAAGGTAGAGTTTCAAAAAAGAAAAGCAGCTCCAATGCTGGAACCAGAATTCCAAAAGGAATTCCAAAAAGAAGATGGCATGTCCTCACCGATGTTCCACAGTGCAAACCCTGTGCAGCCAAGCTGGGATTCAGAGGGTGAGACACAACTGGGCACAAAGGAGAGGCTGAAGGTGAGGTTGGGTGTTCTGGACATCAGAGACCTAAGAAATCTGCCAGCCTGGTCTCCTTCCTTCGCTTCCTCCTCTTGTTTCAACAGGTGGCATTGCACCCCAGGGGTATCTCCTGAATCTGAGACGTGAAGCATGGAGCCAGCCCCACGGGCCCCTCCACACATGTGCCCATCCTGCATGTTACTTACTGAGCCAACAGTACTTGCTTCAGACCAGCCTGCTCCCTCCCAGCAGGACTCGGAACCCAGAAAGAACTCCTAATTGCATTTCTGCCTGTACACATATCTGTGGACTCCAGGAGTTCCAAGGCAGTGCCTCTGAGTGCACTTCTCAACCAGCAAGCTCTCTCCACCCTCTCCCCACAAATGAGAGACTGAGTCTCCCTGCTACCCACACAGCAAGGTGAAATACCATCACATCATGTCTCAGGCTGGCTGAGCCCACAATCATAAAGCTGTGCTCTGGCAACAAGGGTCGCGTCAACTGCAAAGTTTAGGTCTGCAGGAAGCACATGTACAAAGACAGTCTTCAGTGAGGTCTCTCAAAGTGACAAATCACAAAGACAGCATTCAGCTCTTGAGGGTCCATAAATCACCTCCCTGGTGTCTGACATCCTTCAGGGCAACGCAAATCCCTGCAGGTAAGGGGCACAGTGAAGATGCAGACAGACACACACCGGTCATACATAGCAGAGACACTGGTGCAGAGCTGGGGACTCTGACCTCCTGCCCATAGCAAGGCAGCCTGCACAAGAGAAATGCATCTCCAGAGAATATGGGGTCTGGTTAGGAAAACAAGTCAGGAGGTCCCCACCATGCCAACCAAATGGTCCAAAAGATCTAAGGAAGGCAGTTTCATACCCAGAGGGAACTCCAATCAAGGTGCCCATGGCAGTATGGGTCGACATACAGCTAATGAAAGGAAGCAGACACACAAGCAGGAGGTACAGACAGTCCACTAGAAGGGACCGTGCCCTGAAACTGTGTGTGTGTGTGTGTGTGTGTGTGTGTGTGTGTGTGTGTGTAGGGGGTAAAGTCAAGAGGGTACAGGAGAGGAAGGTTAGCATCAGACGGAGGTGCAATCAGGAGGCTCAGACATCCAGAGAACGGAGACGCTAAATAAGACCAGGACCCAAGACAATCTTGGTGCAGGGACATGATGGGGAACCCTGGGAACTCATCCCAGATCCTCTCAGATGAAGGCAAAGATAGGACTTAGCTGTCTGCGTACAACTCCACCAAGACCAAAAAGAGGTTGCCGCGAGAACCCCCCGGGATCCGGCACGATCCGCGTACTCAGGCAAGCAGTGAGACACCCACACCCAACGCAGAGAGCAAGTCGGGCGCCCTGCAAGAGTGACAGGGAACAAGAACCCAAGCGGGCTTCGGGAACCACAGAGCGCGTCCTCCTCGGGAAATAACTTCTTCAGACCCTAAGGGGGCCCTTGGACTCTGGACCGGGCAGCGCACGACCCTGAGCCTCCCGTGGGCACAGAGGCGCTGTGGGGCGGGCAGGCTGGCGACGCCCGCGGCTCCGGGGCCAGGGGGCGTGGGTTGGGGTTGCCGCCTTCTGTCCTCCCGTCCTCCCAACAGGGTGCGCGCCGAAAGGGCATCTTACCAGCGCTCGGGCGGGCAGTGCCCCGCGGCCGGCCGGCTGCTGCGCCCGGGCTTCTCCGGGGCCGCCTCCCCGCACCCGCGCC